GTAGTGGCAGGGCAGCCTAGGAAATGTGTTTATTTTGTAGACAAAGGAAGAGTGTAGTGTAATATTGGATTCACTTTCCTTTGAAGAGGAGGAAATGCTAAAATGGCCAAAGGGAAGCAAACATCCTCCTGGGCTTTGAGTAGCTGGGAGGTAACAGTGTTGGGAACCCAAAGTAAAATGAGGGCAAGTTTTCAGCAGAAAGACACTATAGTTGAGGAGTCTGAACTTGAACCTCCCAAAGATGAGGCACTGGAGAAATAAGTAGTGTGGAGAAAGATCCATAAATGTCGATTGCATAAGGAATAATAGGAACAGCCTTTTTTCATGTTGGCTTGCTTTGACCGTTTATGTGGGACGCTGCAGGCTGGGTGAGAAGGTGGGATTTGGTCTAAAATGGAAATGTGACTTCAGGCATCTACCACTTTTCTATGCTTGTACTGTTTTTCAGGTGCCTCATCACCTGGGCCCAGGTCACTGCGTGTAGTCTGAGGCAGCGCGAAGCCCTCTCTGAGTTTAAAAGGGTCAGAGAGCACCGTCTCTTACTTGTGAGCTTTACTGAGTGGAGGAACAAACTCTTGAGAGCTAAACAGAGGGTGCCAGGAGAGAGAAACCACAAGTGGCAGGCCCCCTCTCCAGGTAAAGCCTGTCACCGCTGGCGAGTGGCTGCACGAGGACAGCAAGCCCTGCGCCTGGGATCTGTGGCCACTGTCAAACAGGTAAGAGAAGATGAAGATCCCTGTGAGACAGTTATTCTTAACTGCCTGTTCCCTCGTGAAGGCTCAGTGAGTCACGAGGCACTGAGAATTCAGTGACAAGGCTTGTATAAAAATTTGATTTGTGGTGACTGCTTTGAAATTCTTTACAGACTGTGCATGCAACTTCATCACCATAATCTGGCACTTGCAGGAACCATCTGGAGCACAGCAATAAGGAAAGGGGACATTTTGACCAGAGATGAGAGCACTCCTTTCCCTCTGCTCGAAAGATGAGATGGGATAATCACTGTCCCTGCAGAGCAGAGTGAGCTGTCAGAGTTGCAGCTTTTTTCAAAGGGCTCACAGCTCGCAAACCACAAAGAGGTCGATTGATTTGGAAGGGCTGAGTCCTGCTGGGAGCTCATCTGTGCAGTTTCCAGCCTGGGGTCTAGCACATTAAAGTACCTGCAGGGCTGTGGCATAAATGTGTCTCTAAGGCTGGTTTGTGTGAGTGCTGTCTGTGTGCATTGTGTTTACTCTTGGCTGCAGCTGTGTTATTTCTGTTTGCAGGCCTGCAACTACTGGACCAAAGCAGCTGCCCTTTCCCAGTGCTTACGGCAGCGCAGTACCCTCATAGGGGCTAGGAAAAGCAGGAAGATGGCTCTGTCCTGGCCCCTGAGTAAGAAAATGCTCCCTCCTCTCTTCCTATGGTGGGGCCATGTGGGGAGTGTGTGAGGAGGGAAGGGAAATAGTGCCAGCCAAATTGACTGGGATTTCTCTGTGGAGTAGAACCTCATGGTAGTCAAACTCTGTGGGTTGCTTCCATATTGAGCCAAAGGACTAAGGACTCATGGCAGCTCTGCTCTCTCCCTATCTAGCTCCAAGGTTAGCTCCTCTGTGACTCCTCTTTCCTTTCCTAGAAAGCAGAAGAGGCAGAGAAGAGGGATCAGCTCCAGCTGGACTTTTTCCCAGTGCCATTCAGCGCTGGCTGGTGATCTACAGAAACCAGAACAGGGCTGAAAGGCTGCGGCTCCCTCACCTGGTGGAGAGACCTGATGTGGTGGGACCCTCTCATGCACATGCAAGGATCGAGGAGAACAAAGCAGAGGTGGACTTGGAGGAGTGGGATGAGGAGCGTCTCGGGTAAGTGGGGTGGAGGGCTCTGGGCTTCCTCTGGCTGCTGCCATCGGGGAAGGGCTCCCTCGTAGGGCTGTTGGGCTGGTAAAGCTTATTTTTCTCCCTTGCCTGCAGGAGGAAATATCTGAGGTGGTGGCATCGCACAGTGGTCCTTTGCCGGCACCAGCGCGAAAGGAGACTGCTCTGTCTGGCAAGGGGGTGGCACCAGTGGAAGGAAGCCAGCAGAGTGGTGATACTGGCTCAGGTGTTGGTGAGTGTCTGCTGCCACCGGGGTGGCAGGGGTGGGTGTTACTGGGCAAGCCTGCTCTGCTTGCAGCCTGGGAAATGAGACTCGGGGGTTTAACAAGTACCAGTGTGCACCAGAAATCCTGCTCTGCTGCTGTGGATCATTTTTCCATCGTTCTTTTTGAAATGCCAGCCTGGCACACTGCCATATCTACAGATTTAGTTGTGCTTTGCCCCGTCTTACAAATGGGAAGCTGAGACAGGATGATTTGTGTAGATTGTCTGTGGCTTATGCAAAAAGTTCACAGCAAGTATTACAGTCTTTGTCCTCATCTGTGTTCCTGATACATCCCACTGGCGACCACAACCTACCAAGGGCTGTCATTTGGTTTCCTCTTCTCAGCCCATGCTCTGCCTGACTTCCTGGGCTTTAGCTGTGTGAGATGTGCTCTGACCTGCCCAGGGGACAAGATGACGCCTGTATATAGTCCATATTCACTGAGGAGCTGTGCTGGAGCTCCCCAGGGTATCGGGACTTAATTAGCCACAGGATTTGCAGGAGACAGTAAGAGCTTTGTTATTAGTCAGCTCTGTTCCTTACCAATGCAAAGTCATTCGAGAGGGACCCGGGAAGGCAACTGGGAAGCAAGGTGGGACTCAAGGGAAGGGAGGTAATTTGCTTGCCAGAGCCCAATTAATCTGTGCACTGGGTCTGTTCCTGGCAGGACCGGCAGCGGCTCATAGAAAAGACCTGGAGGGTGTGGAGGCGAAGATATTTGCAAAGCTATGTGGTACAGAATTTTTTGGAGGAGGAAGCCAGGAGCCTCCTGTCCCAGGTAAGCATTTATGAATTCAATGCTTCAATTCTGTGGGCCTCAGTGGACCAAAAAGCACCCCCAAGGGACAACTGGTGTTCCCTGTATCTCTCCCCATGCACAAAGCACTTGCTTGGGGAGAAGTTGAATACATCAAGGAATGGGACTTGCCAATAACAAAGGGAAATAGCTTCCAGCCTTACATGGGTTCATCTTTGGGTGTTTTTCAAAGCTTTGTGTCAGCAGGCAATTTCCCTGACGTGTGCCCCCTTCCCCACTGTTATTAGTGATGTTAATCCACTAATCCCCTGCCTCTGGAGAGCCCACTCAGGGAAGAAACAGGCTGCACATTGGTGCAGGAGGACTGTGCTGACTTGCACCCAGGGGCAGGCAAATCACTATGAATTTGAGTGAGCAAGCAAAGCCTTAGAACTCATACCCAGATACTCCTCTGCCTGCCTCCCGAAGATCCATGCAGGATTAGGTCCTGCTTTAAGGAGATGGGAGCAGGTACTGAAATTAGAGGGCAGGATGGACATTGATCTTTATATTGTTCTTTTTTCTCTCACGTTGATTTGTGCTTTGCATGTCATTTATTGGCTACAGGAGAGGCAGGGAAGGGCTCTGAGTGGTGAGGCAGCTGGCAGAGCCATTGCTAGAGGGAAAGCTGTGTTTAGGGGTTCTATGAGAGTGGCTGCAACCCCTTAAGGGTCACCAGAGTATTTGATTTGTCCACTTCCCTCTCTCAGGCCTTTGGAAGGTGGCAGCAGCTCACAGCATTCCAGCTCAAGGACAAAGGACTCTGCTGAATGGAAGGGGACTGCCTGCAGCTGCTGCTCATTTCAGGACACGTGGAGGATGTGGCTCCTGTCACAACAAAGAGCTGGTCCTGTGCAGTTGAGAAAGAGAACACTGCTCTTGTGATAAAAGCAGTGCTGCAGGCCAGAAGGGTGACAGCCAAAGGACAACCAGGAAGAGATGGTATACCTAGTCAAAGGTCCTCTTTAAAGGACTTGTATCCTAGCTCCTTAGCAGCATAAATGGAGAAGTTACTCCCCATTGTTGTGAGGTTTCACTCCCTTCTCCTCTGGACCCTGCTTTTGCTGCAGTTCTGATTAAAGGTCAAAAAACCGTCTTATAGGCTCTCCCTTTACTCAGTGTTTTTGTCATGGACAGGAGTTTGGTGTCAAGCAGGGGAGTAAGCAAATACATCAGTCTCAGAGATGAGCAAGAGTTTACCTGTGCTAGATCCTGATGATTCCAAAGTTTGGACTGTCCTGGGTAGGTGCAAACACAGGTCTTTATTTTCAGATTTGGCTCTTCCCCTGGTGGGAGATTCCCACATGGCTCCCACCTCCTCCCCCTGTCTAGGTCCATCAGCTCTTCATTAAGCCTTTCAGTGGGTGGCCAACCTCCTGACTGCTTCCTGCTGGTTCCTTTCTGTGCTGAATGGGCAAGGGATGGAGAAACCTGCTGGGAACAGCTGAGCACCAAAAGCTTTGCTGAGGCGAGACAGGCGTGTCTGATCCCCAACCTTCCCATTACTTGCCTCTGTGATTGATGCCCTGTAATTACCCTGGATATATGAGCCCGGCCTCAGACAGCTGTAACAAGAGGGTCTGAAGAATCTGGAAAAGGCTTTTCTTCCTTGCTTGTTTGAAAGAGATGCTCACAGCATGGTGGGGATCTCAAAATCCCACTGGGAACTGCCCCGAGGTCTTGTTTTCCTAGCCTGTGGTAGCTTGGCAGGATTATTAAGTACACAAAGCAGCCTCAGTAGCTCCACACACCCCTTATTCCAATGCTGTGGGGCCTAAGGCTGTTAAGAGTCATTAGGTCAGGAAAGATAGGCTGTCTTTCCCTACAGGCACTGGAAAAGGACCACCACAACTCCTTCGACATTGCAGCTCTGGGCCAAAGATTGTAGCTGGTTACTTTTGGTAAATTCCAGGATTTAAGCTTTCTCTGCTCTACCATGGAGCTTTGGCCATACTCAAGGCATGCACTGAAAGTGAAGGCAGAACTGCCCCAGAAACAATTGGTTTTCTTAAAATTTTCCCTTGTGCCACGCTGACTAGTTTGCAAACAACACGGGTCTCTGCCAGAGTATAGCCTAGGACAAGGGACATTTGTATTCACGTAATTTATTATACATAATTGAAGGAATAGTGTGATTCCTAAGTAGCTTAATCCAGAACTGGAATTCACATAGTCCTATTAAAAAGAAAACAGGAAATACAATAAAAGGAGAAAAGTTAAGGAGAAATATTGAACCTTCTTCTGGAGTGAGTGCAAAATAGCCTGATATGAGCAATTATGAAGAAATACATTTTAGGAGTGCAATATAAAAGCAATTTGACCTTCTTTTCCGGGTTGGTAACAGCTGAAATAATCCCCTTACATAGGCACAGCTGACAGGAGTGTTTCTGCCCCCAAGGCAGCATTTCTGTCATGGGAAAGTTACCAGAATCCCATGGAGTTTTATCACACTGATGCACAAGAGTTCTCTGTTCTTGTAATCAACACGGCCATTAGCAGCTCTTCATCCTGCAGAGCTGGCCTTCAGGCTCAGTCTGGAGCCTCAGCTCAGAGGTTCAGGTAGTTCTGGCTCTTGTTCAGTGAGAAGGGCTCAGGGAGCCTTTTTGCTGGGGACAGAAGAGCACATACTGTGGGTTTGGGAGTGTGTTGCCCATCACCAGCACAAGAGCTGCTGCTGCTTCTCAGTGGATGGACGGAGGAAGTAAGGGATTGTAAGAGGGATTTTCACTGCTGAGTTGGAGAGTTCAACAGCTCAAAAGTGTCATCCACAACCTGCCAGAGGCAGTTTTCGAGGGGGAAGTCGTTGTCCACCAGGTTGACCAAGTAATAGTTGTCATGGATGTACTGGATGATCATGCGAGAGGGTGACTCCTCCTCATAGAGCTTGGCCCACTGCTCGATCCACAGGGCAAAGGCTTCGTCCTGGCAGGGGAAAAAGCGTTGGCAGTTGTGTAACATTTTCACGTTACTTAATTTAGGACACCCAGTGTCACATGTGGCTGGGCCAGCCTGTGGCTTGCTTCTTCTCAGTAAAAATGGCAGGAGTTGAGCAAGGAGCCTCATGCTTTCCAGTCAGGGGGAAGTGCCCAGAGCTGAAAGGAGACACTGTTTGCAGTGCAATGAATGGCTCAGTGCTGCCCCTGCGTGTGTGTAAGAGGGGAGGGAGAGCCACTGTCCAGCACTCTGGGGCCCACTACAGTGACACTGGTAGTTCCCAAGTTACTGTGCACTTGGTGTTTGAGAAGAGCTTTTGCCACAGCAGTTCTCCTTACACAGAGGGAGCAGGAGAAGCAGTACCTGGACCTCTGCAAGCCAGTATTGCAACAGCCCTCAACTGTGAGAAGTGTCACAGACTAAAACCTAATCAGACACTGAATTTCACAGTAGTGCATCCAGCAGGAGGGAGGACTCACCTTCCAGTAGAGGAAGCTCACAGGATCCACTACAGTAGGCTGGATGATCTCCCTGCCTGGGAAGATGCCCCAGGTGACAGCGTTGGGTTGCAGATCTGGAGCATTGGTGATATTCTGGCCCTGCCAAAGGAAGGAAAACCTTTTTGAAGCAACTGCTGGAGGAGGAGCTGAGTGAGTTGGAACAAGTGCATTTACCCTCTCCTTGTTAACTCAAACAGCTGCTGCACAGCACAGCTGACTTGCTTTACTTTCCCTTCCCTTCATCAGCCCTCATGTCTGGCTTTGTTCATAGCGATATCTGAATCTCGGATATTTGCCTCTCTCCCCAGGTGGTGAAAGGGACGTGTCCTGTGCCCCACAGCCCACCTTGACGTTGACAATGTGGTAGTTCACCCTCAGCTCGTACTTCTTCAGCACCTTGAGCAGCGCCGTGACGATCTCGCTGGAGGCAAAGAACTCCAGGTAAGCCTGCAGGGAGGGATGGGGAAGGGGGAGGAGAGTCAGAGCCTTAAATCATGGCAGGACAGATAAATACAGGCAAACGAGGACAGAGCTGTGGAGTCTGGGCTGCCTTGCATGGCTCATCCCCAGAAACATGTAGTACAGAGGAGGGTTGAGCAAAGGGCAGAGCAAATTCATAAGAGAGCTGGGGAAAAAAAATAAATAACTGGGGAGAGCAGATAGAACAGGCCAGAACAGTGAGCTCAGGAAAGCTACATCCTGCCTGTTTTGCACCCATGCAAGCAGACAGGCTGGAATGAACTCCAGTGTAACCACAACTGCTGCACCAGGAAGCAGCCTGTGCCAGAGTGCTTGACCTCTATTCTACAGCAGTGTCTTGCCAAGGCAGCCCAGCCTGGTGAGAGCAGAACTCGGGGGTCTCAGCTGGGCTCTCCTAAGCACCACTCCCTGTCCTCATCTTTTGTTCACAATTCTCCCCGTGTGCTTATACAGCCCAATTCTGTACTTGCTCTGTGCTTGGCTGCTCCCAACAACTGCTTCCCCTCCCCCCATTTCCTGGCTATTGTGTGAGATGATGGATTTCCCTCACCTCGGGGGAATCTTTTCCTTTGAAAACATAACTGCATTTGCCATCTGCTGGTCTCTGGCTTTGGCGGTTTGGATCCCTTTTGAACGCGGCTGCTTTGTTTCCCAGTATGAGCCACTTGCCTGGCATTTACCTTGATGGGAGATTCCTATCACAGCCATTAGTGGCAAGGCTGTAGGGTCTGAAATGCCTGACAGTGGGAGGCAGGACTGCTGGCAGGCCAGGGAAGGAACCTGGCAGTTGTGTGAACAGCACAGTGCTGTGGGCTGAGGGTAATTGTGGAGAACTCTGCCTTAGTGAAGGACAGGCAGGGGAATTTATAAATGCCCAGTTATCACCATGAGAAGCTGGGTGGTAGAGATACTACCCCATTGATTCCCATTTTATGAAAGACCCGAGTGCTTTCTGCATGACTGAATGGGAGCAGATGCAGCAGGTAAAATGTATCTAAAACTTCACAGCCTTGCTCTAGAAAGAAGTCACCAATAATTACTTGCTGAGAGTAGAAACAAGAAACAATACATGATCTGAGGTGGGAGGAAACAGCCCTGAAGTCAGCCACAGAGATGACATAGCCTGGCTCTTAGGACACCAAAGGAGCTTTGCCTCATCTCACCAACAAGGCATTAAGATAAGGAGCAGGCAGAAAGATTATCTGGATGAAAGCCTGGGACCTCCCAACCTAACGGAGGCCAAACAGGGTCATAACTCTTTGCTGCCTAGCCCAGAATAGCACCGTACCTTTTGGAAAACATAGCCCCCACTGGGCCCCCAGCCTACAATGGGGTCTGTGGATGGTTTGCCATTGATGTTTGGCTGGGAGTTGATGGTCAGGATTCCTCGTCTGTTGACCTTCTCCAGCTGGTCCTTCAGAAGGTTGGTCTCAGTAGCCAGAGGGTCATCGTTCCAAGGCATGCATGTGACCTGCCATGGGGAGAAAGGGTGGCTCACAGTGGGTGTAACAACCCCTTCATTGCCATCTGGGTGTTGAAGGAACTCAGAAGTGCCCTAATGGCCTCAAACACACCTGCTTCAGGAGAGAACTCCCAGGTTTGGTTCACAGGGCAGGATATGCTCAACTCTAAGAATGACTGCTGAAGTCTGTAGATACCAGTCCTGTCATACTGTAGCAGCTTTCCTTTTATTTTGAGCCCTAGCTCTGGCTGCTGGATCCCCTTCCAAACACTGTCCCAGAAAATCCTTTTGGATAGGGAAGTGCCAATTCTTGTTTAGAAGAATGATGTAGTACCAGGAGCAAGGGGAAACATGCACTGTTGTCTGTGCCACACCAACCATCCCTTCCTGGGCCATCACTCACCCTGTGCCCATTCCTGTTGGGTTCTCCAGTGATGTAACACGTGAACACCTCAAAGACACTTTCCTCACCAGTCAGCTCTTCTCCCCACATCTTCAGAAGCTCCTCCCGGGGAGACTTGCTCTTCAGGTAGAAGAGGTAATAGTCCTTCAGTTCCCCAAAGGCTGGAGAGGAGGAGTTACCCCTGCAAGGGGAGCAGACACAGACTTAACAGGCCACTGAGGAAGATGAGCTGATTTGGTGGTGCAGGCAGGCAGCCACCCAGGAAGAGAAGTATCCAACAAAACCCACCTAGACACCAAAAACCTCAAGATCTTGGTGCCATTCTCCTCACCTCATTCAATCCGAGCAACTGGGGGCCACTTTGTTAGGAAGCCACCCGTTCAGTGAAGCCCAAAGTGTGCCCAGGACACCCATTAACAGAGACCAACTGTGCACCAGGCTTTCCTACTGCAGGGGACACTTACCACCGGCCATTGGGGAAGTCATCCCACTCCTGGGTCCTATAAATGTAACTCTTGGGCCTGGAGGCCCAGAAGATGGGCCGAACATCTTCCACTCTTCTCTTGGGGTGGGCACTGACTGCCCAGGGCAGGGGCCGCCTGCATGGGAGGAGCAGACATTAACACACTTCCTCTGCTGACTCTCCACTAGAGCCTGGAGGCCCTTCCCCTGGAGAGAGCAATAACAGAGGCTGAGAAGAGTTCTGCTTGCCAAGAAGTAGGACAGGAAAGTCTTCTTCCTTTATGGAAAGTATTTCTCACGCAGTTCCCTTACAAGATGCTCAGTAGGGGTCTGTTTAATGTTAAGACTGACACCTTTAATTGGAAAAGGTAAGGCAAAGCACTACGGGAAGCTACTGTAAGGAAAAAAAACAGCTGAGAATTGCCTTTGCTTCCTCTTGTCTATGCTGAAGCCTGTGGACTCAGAGAGAATTCCACATTCCCTTTATCAGCTGCAGAGAACCCTAGAAATCCACAGTGGGAGCTTACATAGCACCCAGCCTGTAAGAGGGGTTGTGACAGGCACCAAAAACTTATTTCTTCCAAGTGGCAGCTCTAAGAATCTGGATTTTTAAAGTTCCAGAACAGCTCTTTTAAAGCTACTTTACTAAACCAACCAACCAAACTCCTCCTTCAGCTGTTCCCTCTATTCCTCCCAGCTCTTGTTGGAGAACTACAGGAAGGGCGAACTTCTAAATGCAGAAAGGTGCTAAAAGGAAAAAAAAAAAAAAAAGGCAAAAAAGCAGAGTTTGTTTCCTTTCAGAAGGTGGGATGGCTGGATGGATGTGAAAGTGGAACTCACAGAAACCAGTACATTCTGCTCACCTGGGGTCCTCCTTCCATAAGCCCAAGCGCTTCAGGACTTCAGTGGTGGCCACTTCCCGGTTGAGGGTGTAGAAGTGGAGCCCATGCACCATCCCACTGTCCAGCAGCTCCCGGCACATGGACACTGCCAGCTCCACCCCGTAGTTCCGGATGGCTGCATCGTTGTCCTTGATGGGTTCAATCACATCTTTGATCTCCTGAGGCACCTCCAGCTTGGAGAGCTTCACCAGCTGGCGCAGGGAGTGGTAACCCTGGAGGAGGATGCAGGGGATTTATATTTTTCCAAGGCCCTTTTCTGACATCCCAGTAGCACAGGTACTTGGTCTCAATTTTGTGGCAGATTTAGAACTGGGTCTCCTGGATTCTACTCCCAGGCCCCATCTCCAGGATGGTAACACAGTCCAGGTCGTGTCTCTTTAGGTGATTTTTAGGTCCTTGTCCAAGCCCTGCATGCTGGCAGTGAAAACTAACACCTCAGGACTGGTTAGTTAGGACTAGTGACATTGTCCTTTACACCCCTTTTTGCCATATGGGCACAGAAAACCTTTTCAGCTTGTTATTACCTGCCTCTTTAATTTAGCAAACCACCTACAGATTTATCACATGTTTAGCACTCTCACTTCCCAGAAATTTTGTGGAGGATATTTACAGACCTCTCTCTCTCAGGCCCTGACCCACAAACACTTAACATCCTGGATCCTTATTCCCGCCCCAAACCCAAATTACTGGATTTCACCTGTATGGGGAAGATGCCAGGAATAATGGGGCAGGTGATGCCAATGGCTTGACAGTCCTTCATGAACTTGAGAAAGGTTTCTGGTCGGAAGAAAAGCTGTGTAATGATGAAGTCTGCTCCAGCAAAGACCTTCTCCTTCAGGTGCCTCAGGTCTGTCTCATAGCTCTCTGCTTCAGGATGACCCTTGGGGTAGCCTTTGGGAGGAAGAGGGGTGGAAAAAAAATGAAACCTTGGTGGTCAGGGCAAGTTGCTAGAAATTAGGAAGTATTGTACTGTCACAGCAATCCAGGGAGGGACTGCTGAGCTGATTTCCCTGTCTCAGACCCTACCCCCCACTCTGCAGTGGAAGACATTTACCTGCCACACAGATGTCAAAGTAATCATCAAATTCACTGCGAATGTGCTTAACCAGGTCAGCAGCATGGTTGAAACCATCTACTTCTTCCTCCCATTCCTCACCAGCAGGATCTGAAAAGAGAACAAATCCACAGCTCTCTCCAACTGTTTGCTGGACTCAGATCTTCAGTAAAAACCTGCTATCAAAAGGAAGACAAAGATGAAACCCCCAAGTCTGCAGTTTCAACCATGGACTGGTTTTGTCTACCCTTGAGCTGGAGGGACTAACAAAGGGCTCAGGTGAAATGCTCAGTCTCAACATCTAATTCTTGCAGAAGGAGCCTCTAAATCTTATTTTTCTGCTTTTACCCTGGAATTGAACACAAGAGCAGCACAGGCTGAGCCCTGCACATCACAGGACTCACCTCCACGCAGTGCCATGATGTTCTTCAACCCAAGCCTCTTGGCCTTCTGCAGATGCCCCGTGATGTCATCCTTGGTCTGGTTGCAGCATGTCATGTGCAGGATGGTCTCCAGGCCACAGTAGTTGACTGCAGTGTTGGCAATAATCATGGAAGAGGTTTCCTTGTCAGATCCTGGGTCCCCTGCGGGGTGCCACGTCACATCAATGAAGAGTGGGCCACCTGCTCCCATGCGGTCAAACCTGTGGGTTTTAGAGCTGTGTCAGCCTACACCAGGTAGACAAATCCCCTCCCTAGGCTTGGGGTATCTTGCTCACTGCTGGAATGTCAGCAACAGGCAGAGAGAGCTTGGGTGACAGCAGCAGGAGACCACAAAAGTGTTGCACTAAGAGTTAAGCAAGTGGCCAGTGTGAATAAGGAAAGCCATCCTTTAAGGCTCTCTGGGGAAGAGCTTACAATCTCTTTGAAGAGGCAACTGAGGTGTTCTCTGTACAATACACTTCCTCCCTGCATGTTCTATTAGACTGACATGGCTTCTGCTAGAGAGCAGTGCAAGTCCCATTCCTTTTGAGATGGGAGACCATGCTGCAACCCCCTGCTCCCAGCTTGAACTGCAGAGGCCACAAATATGAAAAGATGGACCAGAACTCTGTTGTGTTCCCCAGTGTGCCTAAGAGAAGAGACAAGGGCTCACTTAACTTGTTTCTCTCCTGCTCTGAGTTGGAACAGGCCCTTCTGTTTAACATATGGCGTTGGCATACAGCAGTTATAAAGAGAATTATGAAACACCCTCTTCTCCAGGTGAGTACATGGTGGCTCCTGGGGCTCCAGAAGAACTTCTAGCTCCACTGAGAACTATCACTTTTCATTTAAAGTTTAGATGGGGACACCTATCTCAGAGGCTGAAACTCTAGTCCTCAATAATGCAGAGGCACAAACCATAGCAGCTGGATGATTCTGAAAGCAAGTGGGAGTCTGTTCCAGAGACTTTGGCACACAGCCCCTCAAGGAGGATTCTCTGCTTTCAACAGGTACTTTTCTGCCCCAGCACTGTGCTTCAGCCCCAGAGCATGACAGTGGGGTTGCTCCAAATTCCCAGAGCGTGGGAGCAAGTAAACAGCCTGGCCCCTCAGTAATCCCAACACAGCACTTAACTCTTCAGGGCCTCCAAGGAAGACAAGTTACCTGGTGTCCATTACCCTCCTCAGCAGGAAAGGACAGCCCCATTACCTGCTTCGTCACCTGGAAGGGGAGACAGAGCATGGGGCAGAGCCTGCCTCATTAGCTATTCCCCAGCCCTCCACCACAGACACTCCTCTCCCACCCTGCAGCGCTCACCTGGAGATGAGGTTGACAGCAGCATTGGCTGTACGTGGGGGGAAGAACTCCAGGGAGAACCACTTGTCCCCGGCCTCCTGCCGCCGGCGCATCTTCTCGCGCAGCCGCTCGTGCCGGTCGGCGTCGAGCACCGGGGTGGAGCAGCGCGAGTTGTCCTTGGAGCTCTCGCTCCCGCTGCTGCTGCCGCCATCGGACCTGGAGCTGGAGCTGGCACTGCAGCTCTGCTGGGTCTCATTGACCATGGTGGGAGCTCTGGAGAGGGGAGCAGAGGGAGCACGGTGAGTACAAGGGTCTCAGCATGGGGGTGGGCAGATGATGATTAAATGAGCCCGTGTCAAGACCCAACATTCATCATCATCATTAAGGAGTCCCTTCTGCTAGCCCTCACTGTAAGCTGTAGTGAAAACACAATAAAAAGCATGTGTTTAGATAGTGCTGAGAGAAATAACACAGCAGTTGGCTTTGTGCCGCTTTGAGGCGGCTCTTCTGTGCCTGCTGGGTCAAATTTGGCTCTCAAAAGAGTCAGGTCAACGTCACTTTTGCCCTGACTACAGATCAGCAAGGCAGGATGCCCCTGTGAACCAGGTGATGGCCTCTGTGATCTCATGGCCTTGGGCTGGGCATGCCAGCAGATTTTTTTTTTTGTCTACATCAGGTGCTTCTTAGACTGTCTCCATCCTCAGAATTTCCATTCTGTCTGTTCCCAAAAGTCAGTGCTGCTCTACACTGTAGGTAGGAGAGCCAGTGCTAATGGAGCAGGGACACAAGAATGCACAAATTATTCCTATGTCAGAAACAAAGGACAGAATCCCCTCTGATCAGGCCACCCCCAAAAACTCAGGCCTTTGTTTTCTTTGTTGGATCAGACAGCTGCATTTCCAACCACTGGCCTTTTCCACAAGACACACCATCTCCACAGACAGCAGTCCCCTGGGCCAGCCCACTGCACCCACTCAGCTCTTTAGCAGATACTCTGTTCCTTTCCTCACCAAGTGTGGCTGCTTGGAAACAAAGTCAGCAGAGACCATCCTCTTCTCCCTGCCTTGTGCAACACCACCAGCTGTGCTTGCCTGGCTTCACAGAAAGCAAAACAGCAACTCAGAGGTGCAAGCAGGTCTAGGATGCCCAACTCCACTTAGCTCCCCACAATGCTCCATCCTGTGCCTTTAAAATGAGGTAACGAGCACACAAAGTTACAGAAGAGCTGCCACAAAACTGGGATCTGCATTATTTACTTAGGTACCTGCCAAAACTTTAAATTATCACTGGGAAGCAGCACGTCATCCAAGCATTACGTAACTTTGGAGCCTGTTTTGGAGGGAATGGTTGCTCGAGCCAGCACACGTTCTCTGTCCTTATTTAAACTGCATCGTGGCTTTAGGTCAGCCAAGAGGACTTTGAACTTTTCTTCTACTTTTTATGCTTGAGTTGCCAATCAGGCAAAAGTGTTTGGGAGAAAGTCTGCTTTTACCACCTGAGGAACCTCTCCAGCTGGCAGGAGATGTGAGGAAGGAGCGCAGGCCTCCTGCTGCCAAGAGGAACCGGGAGCCTCAGATCTCTTGTGTACCAACACAGCAGCTGTGGCAAAAGCAGCAGCTCAGACTTACTGACGAGTGAAGCAAAAACTACCCGCTGCACAGGCACAGCTCTGACCAGGCTCTCCCAGAGGACTTTGCCTGACATCCACGTGCACTAATCTGGGAGAATTATTCCAAAGCATGTGTTGGTGATCAAGCTGGCAGCTCAAAACCACGTGCTGTCAACTCCTAATATCTCACTCCTAGCAAGCATGGCACAGCACTGTAGGCAAATCAAAGGATGTCTGTCTTCCCACTAAAACCCATCACAAGGGGAAAGGGTTTGTGTATGAACGTCTCTATAGGATGAAAAAAGATCCTTATCCTGCTGGAAATATCGAATCACAAAGACAGGAGAAAGGTTCACTTAGATTCTGTCTACAGGCAGTATGTGGAGCAGTCTCTTCACTGTCAGATCCATCACAGACTTGCTGGCAGAAGCTTGCCGTTATTGCAAAGAGAAACAAGATAAGCCTAAACAACAAAGCCAGCAGCAAAACAAGACAATCTTAAGCACCTCTCAGCACTCCTGCTCCTGTCTCTGCCGCGCTGCAGAGCTCAGAGATCCGTGGCTCAGCACACCAGGATGCTCAGCGTAGATGCACCTGTTGTGTTTGTATGATGCCGGTGCTATTCCAACTCCTCCCAGCCCTGAGCTGACACCCAGACACGCAGGGTGGAGACCTGCACTCCCCGAAAGCTCAGCTTTACCACGCGGGCTAAACTCACTGCACAGATGCACCGTTCACACGCTGCAAGGAGCTGCTCTGGGCCTCGCTGTCCCGGGCCGCGGCATCGGGCTGAGAGCCCTGCGGGGAGGTGAAGGGGCCCGCGATTGGATCCACCGCCAGGACAGCGGGATAGCGGCCACGGGAAGGCCAAGAGGAGCAGCACCGGGGTGCCGGGGGGTCCCTGCCGCGCTCGGGGCCAGGCGAGCATCCCGCTGCAGCCCGATGGCCCCTTCACCTCAGCTGACCCCGCCGGGCAGACCCGCAGCGGAGGAGGGCGGTGCTCCCCAGCGCTGGGGCAGCCATCGGGTCCCCATCCCGGTCCCGCTCACCTGCGGCCGGTGCCGGGCGCTGCGCGGGCCGCCCGCCCGCCGCGCTTTAAGGGCGGCCGCGGCCGTGCGGGTCACGTGGGGGCCCGCGGGTGCCCTCACCCGACATGGCGGCGCGGGGGCGGGCCCGGACAGGGATGGGGCGGGACCAGACCGGGATGGGGCAGGAGCGGCAGCGGGAGCGGGAGCGGGCCCAGGACGAGGAGCAGGAGCAGGAGCAGGCGGAGCCGGGCGGGACCGCAGGGGCGGGGCCGGACAGGGCTTTCGTGGGCGTGGCCAGACCGTGCTCCGGGGGCGTGGCTGCGCGCGGTCTCGGGGGCGCGGTCTCGGGCGGGGCGGGGCCAGCCGTGGGCGGGCCCAGCCGTGGGCGGGGCCGGCGCGCGGCGTGACGCGGGCGGGGCGGGCCCCGCGGCGAAGATGGCGCGGTGCGGGTGCGGGGCCGGGCTGTGCTGCTGCTGCTGCGGCGAGCGGGAGAGCCGCACCCCCGAGGAGCTGGTACGGCCGCGGCCCCCGCGCCCTTTCCCCTGGCCGGCCCCGCGCCGCCCCCCGAAACTCGTCCGTGCCGCCGGAGACCCCTCGCGCCGGGCCTCGGCGCGGCCCCGCCCCGCCCGGCGCTGGGAGCGCCTGGGGGCGGGCGGTGAGGGGGCGGGAGTGGGGCCGTGGTGCTGGGCCGGGTGCCTCGTCCCCGGTACCTCACCCCGCGCTCGGCCCAGCCCCTCGGGAATGCTGGGCCCGGCGCCTCTGCCCCTTCCCGTGCGTTTCACTGCCGGGCCCGGCACCTCACGCTGTCCCTGCCCCGCGCTCTTTGTGTGGGCCTCGTACCCCCTCCCCGAGGCCGGTGCTGCCCCTCCCTCGTGCGGGACGGGGGTGCTGGCAGGGGCTGTCTCTGACCCCAGCATTACAGGGCGCTGTGTCTGCAAGCTGCTTGTCCTGTGCTCCCCTGGAACCTGTTGCTGTGAAGGGAAGTGGGATGTGGGGTAGGACTTTGCTGTGGGGAGCTCCTGTATAGAAGGGATGTGGGGCATTCTGGCTCTAAGGTAACACCCTGTAGAGTTGCCTTAAAGTAGGTGATAGTCTGGTAACCCACACTCTCAATTCACAGGCAACAGTGGTGTAGGCCTTTTGTGACTTTAGCCTTACTGGCAGTGTTCATGAGTGCCTGTACATGCGTCCCTTCCCCTCGTGGTTTTCCTTTCCCACGTTTGTTTGTTTGTTTTGCAGACAATCCTTGGAGAAACTCACGAAGAGGAGGATGAGATCCTTCCCCGCAAAGACTATGAGGTGGGAAATTAACTGAGAGCAGCTCCTGAAATTAATGTGAAAAGAACTGCAGATGGGTTTCGATCTGTTTGAGTTTATGATGGGGCAGGTACTCAGAATGTATCTATGTGGACATACCAAGAGATGCTGTGCTTGCAAAGAACTGCTCCTCATTTCTGGGGTAAAGCCCTTTGAGCTTGAACAGCTGCTGTTCATGTCAGACTCTTGCTGAGAAAATTTTTTTTTAGAGTCTGCTGCATTGTTCCACTTCTTTAATGTGAGATTTTCAGGCTCCAGTGCCCTTGTTTTCTTGTGACTCTAGAAAGCATCTGTAGCTACTTAGTCCCAGTTGCCTTCCTGCTGTCTCTGTTGTCACGCTGCCTCACAGCAGATCTTCCCATGCATCACATCCTGCTTATTACAGGAGATTTTTGGGTTCTGCATGGCTGTATGGTGGCCCTGAATGGGTGTCACCAGCCAAGCCTGTTACTGCTTGGCTTGAAAAGGTGAAGATGTGTGTAGAACTAGTGGTGGTTTTGAGAATACAACTGGAGAACTATATTGCTGTTAACTCCCTGCTGTGATAAACTGAGGAACTGATGCTGTTCAGCTGGGGGGGAATTCCCATCTAGTGTTCCTGTTGTAGTAAAAGGGTAAATATAAAGATCCAGTGTTATCCCCTGCAGTGTCAAAGTGGAGACACTTCAAGAAGTAAAGTATAAATCTGTACAGTGTGGCTTCTTTAATTTAAAGTCGTATTACTCAGTTGAGCTTCTGTTTGATTCCCTGTCTCTCAGCCTGGGCAGTGAAATTCATCTGTTCTTTCACTCCCTGATTCTCAGGGTCTGACTCTGCTAGAAATACTTAATTTAAGTTGTTTCCAGGAGTTTTTTCTCCTAGTGTTGTTTGCAAAATCTGCTGTGCAGGTAGAAATGACTTCTGTAATCTTTAACAAGGCCTTCTAGCCATATTTTGTTTGCACAATCTGTTGTAGTTGGTTCTCTTAAATGGACCTTTTGGCGTTTCAGAGCTTGGATTATGATCGCTGTATCAACGACCCGTACTTGGAAGTTTTGGAGGGCATGGACAATAAGGTAGGATCTTGTTCTTTCTTTTTCCTAAGCTTGAGAGCTAAAACTGTGGAAATTGCTCAGAGAACCTGTGAATGCCCTATCACTGGAAGTGTTCAAGGCCTTGTTGGATGTGGCTTTGGGCAACCTGGTCTAGTAGAAGGTGTCCCTGCCCGTGGCAGGGGGTGGAATGAGGTGAGCTTTAAGGTCCCTTCCAACCCAAACCATCCTGTGATTCTAAAAATGCTCCACTGCAGGAAGTTCTGTGGGATTTTTCTTCTTTAAGAAAGAAATTATATGTGTTATCTTGCTTTCCCTACCAAAAGAATAAAGATCTGGGTGGAGATGATAGGTCAGCATCTGTTCTGATCTGCCCAGGTTTAAAGGGAGCGAGATGCTCAGCACTTTCAGTTCCCTATTTTCAGTTTGCTGTTGTCACCATCTTCTGTTGATTTATCCCTCTGGCTGTACTTGAGCTGTCGAGCCCCAAAGCACCTTTTCCCAATCCCTGTTTTTGTGTTGCTTTGACTTGACTTTTTTTTCTTTCCCTTTTTTATCCTCTTCCTAAACAGAAAGCCCAGAGATACGAAGCCGTGAAGTGGGTGCTGGTTTTTGCCATTGGAGTCTGCACAGGACTGGTAAGGGTCATGCTGTTTGGGGAATGAGGAAAATTCAGGAGACTAAGCAGGAATAATTTAAGAGTCAATGGCCAAGGAGTAAAGAGGAGGAAACATTCTCTTTCATGGAGTGGAGAGCTTAGAAGCTGGAGTTGTCCTTTGGGAATTACAGCATGTTGTTGCTAGTTGATTTTCCAAGAAGTCTTTTTTTGCTTTTAGAACTTGCTGTGTTTTCTTTGTAAAGTATTCTGGCAGATCCTTTAGTTTTTCATACAGGAAAACTTGTCCAAAGTGAGCACTTAATAAAAAAGGATGCAAATTTATAGCTGAACTGTATTGTGCATGTTTGGCAGTATTAGTGTCACTGCACGTGCTTTGAAAATTAGCTCAGCTGACTGTATGCTTCAGTTAAACACCAGCTTTCTTCTGTGCCCTGAAGTATGTTGAGGGTGTTAAAAGTGCTGCCAGATTAGTACTCTGAAATATAGCTCTTCAGGAATAATTCTAGGCTGGATCTGTCCTAGTGGGAAAGAGAGAGGGAGGAAATCTGACCTTTCAAAGTTACTTTACTCTGACTGATGATTCTTTTGGCTTCTCCATCCTCTGTCTTCCCATGTGTGCATACTTCTGGTAGGGCTTACCAGAGGGTGGTCTTTGTTATTGTAGGTGGTAATTGCTGATGGCAATCCTGCCTTCTTTTCCCAGGTGGGCCTGTTTGTGGATTTCTTCGTGCGGCTCTTTACGCAGCTCAAGTTCCGGCTGGTGCAAAGCTGTATCTTTTTCCTCGTGTGTGGGGCTCTGGTAGACTCGAGTGACCTTTTCCTTTCTGTTCCCCTGCCTTGCTCAGAACAGCTGACTCTCACACTTCTGCCACCGGTCATGTTGTTCATGATTAAGCAAGTTTTCAACTCACTTATGTAATTCAGCCCTTGAAACTAAGGAATGTTTCCAGCGTCGGGTACATAAGCAGAGACTGAAAGAATAAGTGGTTTCCCTTCCTCATAACTCAGTTTTGAGCTCTGAAAAGGAAGCCTGGCTTCCTGATGGGTTGTGTCAGCTGGATTAGGGAGCACAAGCCTGGCTCCTGATGCTGGTGGGACACCCAGACATTATCAAGTGATTGTGTGTTGGTTTGGGGAATGCTGTTGTTTTCCTTGACCGTCCCTGCAGCGGTGGAGGAATGCTCTGAGAAAGGCTGCCTTGCACTGTCCTTGCTGGAGCTGCTGGGGTTCAACCTGACCTTTGTTTTCCTTGCCAGTCTTCTGGTCCTGATCCAAGTAAGACTTCACTCATTGCTGCTCCTCACACAGCCTCCCTTTCCTCTCACACGGGCCCTGGGTATGAAATATCCTTGCCCCAAGACATCAAACTAACTTCACAGTGCTCATTGATTTAGCTAAGCAGGGCCTCTTGGTCCCTTGCTCTCTGCTGAGATGTTGTTGGTCAGGTATGAAATCAGTGCAGCACAGTGTCAGTGTTTCTTTCCTGCAGCCTGTAGCAGCTGGATCAGGAATTCCTGAAATTAAGTGCTACCTCAACGGGGTGAAGGTGCCAGGGGTGGTGCGTCTGCGGACGGTGGTGTGCAAAGCCATGGGAGTGCTCTTCAGTGTGGCTGGAGGTAAGGAGGGCACACAAGGCTTATCCTCCCTTTCCAGTAAAATTATTTTGGTGGGCTGGAGCAGAGTCATGAGCCCTGAATGCATTTATAGAGTAGAAAATAGCCAGGAGGATCAGGACTATGAGGAGAACAGGGGGTTTTCTGAGTGGGCTTGTCAGACATGACTGTCTAAGAGGATGTCCTGAGAATTTTCCAGGACACGCTGTCTGGAGCAGGCAGAAGGCAGCTGTGTTCTAGGCAGCAGGGCAGAATAACCTGAAGAGTTCAGAGTCCTTGTAACAGTTGTCTTTCAATGATTCCACCCACTTGAAATGCAAAGTCTGTGCAAGTCTTCACAAACATTTGAGGGTCGAGGGGGCAGGGGGTCAGCATCTCCTTGTGAGACGCTGCAGGCTTGGCACAGGGATCTGTGCCATGGCATGGAAGTGGGGAGATGATCTCTTCTGGTGTTGTCAGCAAGGGAGGGTGGTGATGAGGAAAGTGTTGCCTCATTAATTCTGTTTTTCCAGGTCTTTTTGTTGGGAAGGAGGGTCCAATGATTCACAGTGGTGCTGTCGTGGGTGCAGGCTTGCCACAGGTTAGTGCTGGCCTGGGTCACTGTCCTGAT